TTAAGGACTTTAATCCTACAGAGAACTTTTATTTATAGAAAACTAGTATTCTCTTGCAAGCGATGCGTGCATGATATGATGCACCGTTGTGCGTAATAAATAAACTGTTTAGCACCTTAATGATTAATATTAATTAGCAATGCTAGCTAGTACGATTGACTGGTTATCCCAGAATTAGCACGCTAGCTAGTCATAGAAATGCTGTGTTATAAGAGTACTTGTAGATGGTCAGATGCTGAACTGTTCATTGAGACATTTGGGGGGTAACTAGATAATTTTGGGGATTCTATTCATAGTGTTATTCATTGGGACAATGTAACAAGTTTGTTACTTTTTTGTGTTATTAATTCTTTGGAACACTAGTGAGACAATTTCACCGCTTGGGATAAAATTATGTGTACAGTTTTGGGATATGTTTGAATTTTTTTTAAAGTTTGCTTATATAGGGGTAGAACACCCAAAAAAAAAAAACTTTTCTTAAATAATAATAATGGATTAAATAGGACATGGTCGTGTAAGTTTATCACAAATAAACAGGGGCAAGTTAGTGCATCTCTTCATACTTTTGAATGTCGATCATGTTGCTAATCATTTTCTATAAAAGTGTGAAACAAACAGCCCCTAATCATAAGTAGCGTTGATACATAAAACGGCAGAAGCTTTTCTGACGTGATGTTTTCAGTGAAAATAATATCACCAATCGAATTATATTTAAATGATCCTAAGCTTTGGTAATAAATAATATCACCGCCCTACTACTAATCTTTTGATTAAGATCCGGTCCATCTCATGATTAATTTGGACCATATCACAATTTAATTAATCAAGATTTGGCCTTTTTGTCGCCAAATTTCACTATAAAAGAACCATCGATCATCACCAAGGCACCATGGCCCAAAATAATCCGACTTTGGAGAAAAGCACCGATAATATTGTCGGTTCTAACCGCCAAAAGTACCGCCTACATATTCCCAAAAAGTAGATAGATGATAAGTCAAAGAAAGGCGTGAACCTTGATAATGTTCTTTGTCACCATTTGTCCCAAGAAGAGATAATTAGTGATCCTTGATCATGTAGTTAAAAATAAATTAAAAAAAAAACAAAACAAACAAACAAACAACAATTCTAGTAATTTACACTAGGAGAGGGTGGTGTGTATCTCATAGAATAGAAAATTCAACAAGCGAAAACTTCTGACATGAGGATAAAGATCTCCCTCCCTCTTGTACAAATCAAGTTATGATAACAAACCAAGTTCATCTGATGATTAGCTTGGAAAAAACTTGTGCTGTCATAGATACCAAGAAAACTGTCACACGTTAAATCAACCCCCACCCACTCATTTCACATGCGAATGATCTTCACTGTACCTCCCTAAGGCACTCATCAACTGCATGTACCAAAAAATGTCCTTATTCATTTGTGTCGCCTTGATTTCTAGTAATTTACACTTGTACATAATAATACTCGAGTGGTGTTAGGGGCACACCCCCTACCACACCACCAACCACACCTCCCCTTTCCCATCGCTACAGTAGACCGGACCCCACATGGGATTTTAAAATTTTTAAAATCTCATGTGAGGCCCGGTTTACTGTAACGATGGGAGAGGGGGGGTGTGGTTGGTGGTGTGTTAGGAGGTGTGCCCCTAACATTATTTATAATACTCCCACATCTTTATTTGGACTAGCTGGGTAAGACGAGAGAGAGAGAGAGAGAGAGAGAGAGAGAATTTTGTATCTCTTTGTTACTTTTAGACACTGCCATGTCTTTACTTCAACTCGCCAAACAAAAAAGATTTCGGAACAATCATTTTTCAATCATAACTGTTTATAATTTAATGTGCAAGGATAATTTTCTTGGACTTAAAAGGTAGAAATGTGTGTAATGTACATAAACTGTGATATTATATATCATAAATGATCACAACCGTCACTATATTATTATCAATTATGATTTAGAATGTATTTATCATCACTTCGACCATTCCACCTCTTTCATTATCTAATCACATGCTTTTCTACCACTGGCAAAATGTCATGTGTTTGTAAAAAAAATTCTCTTTTGTCTATAATTTCAGCAGCACTTGTCATCTGTCGACTCGTTTAACCGTTTGATTTTGGTTTTTCTTGTTTGATGCAAAACCCTTATCCAAATCAAACACTAGAAAGCACAAACAAAATCCAAGAACCAAAAAATAAATAAATAATCGAATTTGTACACAGAGCATTTGCTGCGTTGATAACAACTGGCACTATCACTGCTCATTGTATGAGCAGTGGTCCCTCTCTCACTTTGGTGATATCTCCATCCATCCAACCAAGAATGAGGACGGAAGAGAGGAAGGAGACACAGTGACCAGATTGTTAGTCTCAGTGCTCTCTATGCAACTGGTTACATCTCACTAAGGAGACAAACTGCACCTGTATATAAACTGGGGGGCAAAGTGCCAAAGAAACTCGTATACGTGTCTCAACACAAATTTTAAAGCTGGCGATTGCATTGGTGTAGTGTTCTGATTAACTTTCAGTTAAAAAAACACGAGCCTCTTATATCTTCAGAGCACCTAAATGAAGGTGTGTATCCCGTCGCTGCTGCTTGGGGAGTAGAGGTATAAAGGATTTAAATCTGCATCAGTTTTAGGAAGGCAAACTAGGAGGTTGTATTATAAACCTGTTTAAGTGAGGATAGAAATGTCAAATTCTACAGGGTTAATTGCGGATAGAACCCCTTTACCATCCGCAATTAACCCAATTCTATATTCACAGCACTGGTAAGTCTGCGAGTCGATCTGCTAATATCCAAAACAAGGAATAAATAAGTTACAATTGAATCTCTTGTAAAGAGGAGAGGACCTTGAAATTTCGTGTTTAAAACTGAACCTGAATATCTTTAGGAACAAAGAAAGGGTATATCCTTAAGAAACTTGCTTATACTTCTCCAACAGCTTCTCCAAAATTTTCTCCAAAATAGGGGAGCAAAAGTTATATTCTCCAAATTATTTATACATCACCTCCAACAGCTTCCCCATTTTGAAGAATCTTTTTTTTCCTCCAAAAATTTAGAGAATGCTGCAGATTTGGGGAAGCTTCCCTATTTTTTCTCCTCCATCCCTATTTTGGGGAATGAGATGGGGAATCTGTTGGACCAAAAACCTAACTAAATTCTCCAAAAGTGGGAAATGGGGAAGCTGTTGGAGATGCTCAACACTGCAACTTGAAGAAGGAGAGAGATAAACTAATCAGATTTGGGACCAATCACAGTTCATAACATGATGAAACGATGAACGAAATAATGATTAAGCTTAACATGTGATGAAAAAGGCACACACCATGTGATTACACTACTAAACTAAGCTGATGAAGCTTAATTAGTAGAGACTTGTCTGATATGATTTCAATACCAATATCTCATCATCCATCTTATTGCCAAGGTACATGGAAACGAGGGCTCGGGCCCACGTCGGTAGGTGGCATATCAGCCACCTGATTGATCGATCGGGTGTACTTGCTACATTGCAAGTTCAATGTACAGATTAACAAGGAAATAAACAAGCATTAACAAGGAAGACTTGCATGAGAAAAACAATGGATTTGATGACTTTGCCTGGATCATTGAATAGATAACTAATGATCCTACTTTCTAATGTTGTTAGGGAGCAAGGTCAGTCACCGTCTTCATAATTTAAAACTTGAGTTCAACTAACCTCCAAAAGTAAGCAAATATGGGACTAATAAGCTTGTCGCTTTCGAAAAATTCTTCTAAAGATTGTAGAATCAATGGTGGATAGAGATCTCCGCTTCATGTTACTCAGGCAGAGTATGACTGCAGGTAAAAGATCAAAGATGTCAAAGGGTAATGAGCATAAAAATCGTGTACATGTAACATAAACCTATACCATTCGCGATTTTCAATTCATGTATATGCAAAGCTGGAAGTAAGGTAAAATGCACCAGGTATAGAAACTGAAATGAACTAATAACAGAAACAAAAGATAATCGATTAACGGAATACTGTAATCAAGTACCAAACTCCTGGTCTTATTATTGCACGTCCGCCTCTAGCACTCTTGTATCTGCAACATCACACTAGCATTCACATATCTGAAAATTGCACTTGATACTGTATGACACGGATATTGCCTAGTCCATACTGTGTTGTTACTGTTTCTTGCTTTTGTTTTTAAAGACATTAAGCAGTTTAGTTCTCCTTACTTGCATAATTCTTGCATGACTAGGACTCATGGTAGAATTTTCACAATGTCTTTCTATGAGTCCAATAACCGAAAAAACAGATATCTTTGCTCAGGTTTACATTAAGTCTTCAAACAAGAGCAGCATTCATAAGATTTACGTAGTTTGCTCTCTTTATCGTATGCATACTCGTGTCTATCTCTGTATATTTCATAGGCAACTTTCTTCTTTAAGCCTCTAATAAATAGGAGCAAGGATTGGTAAAATCTAGTTCTCTGCCCTTTTGACCAATAGTTGCTCTGAATTTTACTGGCAAACAATTGCGCTGCGATTCAGGATTCATAATGTTCAATTCTAGTATTATCACATAAAGTTTTTCCTTACGAAAATTTGACTCTTTTTTCCTATTTCCCCACCATAACCCCCGCAAAACCAGGAATAGACCGTGGAAGCTCATGACTGATACAAATTAGGTACTCCTGAAAATATTCAAGGCTAAAATCTTCTCCTACTCTCCCTCCCAAAATGTATTCAGTCTTGATTCCAATACATTGCAATTCAAAAATGTTCTGTCTCCATTTTATTTGAATTGAACGGCGCCATATACTACAAATCCTAGGAAAATGTGGCTTTCTACACACGACCTCCTTCGCCAATTTCTTCAAACATCCAAGTTCCCCTTGTGTTACCTTCTTTTTCTATTAGCATTGCAAGCAACTAACCAAATAGCACTTCAAGCCCGCTATAATGCCTACTCAATATGCACATAAACTGAAACAAACACGGAGAAAAAAAATTACATGCACATACAAAAAATGTAAATCTAAGTTTAAGTCATGGGCAGTTAAAACTTTTCAACATTTGCTCAAGTTTTACAATCACATAAACATCAAAACATAATAAATCCTTAAACACTACCAATGACCATGTCACCTGGAAAGGAAACTAGTTTTACCCTGAAACAAAGATACATGCCTGAGATTTTCTCCCTCGATTTCAATCAACATTTCCAGGCTGAGACCGATCCAAGCTCTCCTCGCTGCCAATAAAGAAACATCGACCCCTGCCTCTTCTCGACTTGAAACCCCCTCACCTGAACCCTCTTCAGCAAACACTCGGCCTGGGTCTCCGTAAAATTACTGAACTGCCCCTGCACAAATCCGACCGATGCGAATATCTCTCTCCAAGGAGCAATTTTTGCTGCAGTCCTGTATTGGGCCAATACAGCATTCTCAATCCTCGGCTGAATCAAGAACCTCTCGATTTTGTTCACAATATCAGCACCCGAGCCTGAGGCATCTATTGAATCGAGAAGAACGACGAGGGGATGAAACAAATGAATGAAATTCTGATTGTAGCCCTGATCAGCCGAGACCACAACTTTAGGGTTCAGCTGCTTCACCAGTCGGAGAATCATGGGAAACGTCTGAGGATAGTCAAATCCAACAGGGAGGTTAACGGCGATTGCCTCGTTAGAGGTGGAGACCGCGAGGAGTTCATTTGGGTCGAAGGATTCAATGGCGAAGAAGGAGAATTCGAAAGGGATTTTGAGCTCGGAAGCGAAGTGTATGAGATTTTCGCGGGTTAGATGGAGCTCGAGGGGGTGAAAAGATGAAGTTGACACAAAAGCCGTGATTTTGAGGGAAGGGGGAGCACCGGATCGCACGAATGGCCCGACGTTCCTGAATGAAAGGAGCGACCAATGGCCGCCGCCGCCGCCGCCGCGCCATCGATATCGAAGTCAACATGTGGATTCGCGTCGAAACCACCGACTCTTCCAAGAGTGTTGGGCGCAGAGTGAAGTTGGTGAAGTGAGCAGTCGTGATACCTCAGCAGAACGCCTTGTATGAACTGAGCTTCAGCACTACATCAAACGGGTTGACGGAACCGAGCCTCGCGGCCGCCTTGAGAGCAGCACACCGATGGCTTCTTTGAAGATGAAGGCGGATCGGATGACGGTTTGAACCCGGCAGGGGTGTTGGGTAGATCTGATTGAGCCGCGCCAATATCTCGCGCGCGCGAAGAGGTTGCCGCGCTCGATGACTCGGCCAGCCCTGAAGAGCTGGTCGGACAACGGATTGCTGGGGCTTGATGGGCTTGCGGGGCCGAGCAATGGCGTTTCGGGTCGCGGGCTTCCGGGCCCGGCGAGCGAAGCGAGAGGGTCGAATTGCCGGAGCTGATGGTGGTGGTCGGACGAAGAACGAGGAGGGGTCGTCGCTGCTGAGCACCGGGAGGCAACTGGGAACCGAGGGGGCGGCCGCTGGCGCCGTCAAGGACGAGGGGGAGCAGCAAACGGGTGTTGGAATCCGGGGCCGACACTCCTCTCCGTCAACGGTGCCGTGGTCATCGCCGGTGATCCAGTTGAGGAATGTCTGCTGCTGCGTCGCCGCGCGGCGACGCCCCGGAGAGAAGCGCTCCCAGTCGTCGGAGGAGTCGGCGGCGAGGAGCCCGGCTGGGGGAGAACGGGGTGCAGCTCCGAGGCCCAATGCTCATACCCGTTGATGGAGTCGGGCTGCCGTTGGCTTCGGTGGTGGTGGCTGCGGTGGTGGTTGTTGTCCGAGAGGGCCGCCCACGCCGGCGGAAAGGGAGGAGCTTGGGCTCGGGCTTGCTGTCTGATCCAGAACAGAGCGAGGCTCCGGCGCTTCTGCCTGCTTCTGGGTGTTGTGAGGAGCCCGGTGGCTTGGTGATGACCGTTGGCAGTTGAAGGGGGCGGTGCCCTTCATCCAAAAAATGGGAAAAGGAGGTGAGAGGAGGCGATCAAAGATTGAAAGTCCTTTCTTTTCTCCTCCTCCTTATTTTTTAATTTTTTTTTTTAACCCCCTCCCTCTCTTTCTCTCTGCGACGAGTTACTTTCTGGACCGCCACCCTTCAAATTTTTTTCTCCTCGCTTATTTGCTAAAACTAACCAAGACTTTATACTACTTGCTGGGGAAATATTCTAAAAGGCGCGTTTCCTCAAAATTTCAGGAAAACAAATAATAGGAAGAACAAATTTTCACCGGAGACCCAAACCAATTTTTTATTACCAAAATCGACCGATTTTTTTTTTAATTACCAAAATCGACCCGTTTTATGCCACGTAGGCGTAATCCAGTTTCCTAATTAGTCGGGGTTGCAAACCCCGATTGTTTAGGAGTTGTTAAACCGGGTTTTAAGGCTTCTGATCGGGGTTTAACAACTCCTAAACAGTCGGGGTTGACAACCCCGAATAATTAGGAAATTGGATTAAGCCTACGTGGCATAAAACGGATCGATTTTGATAATTAAAAAAAAATCGGTCAATTTTGGTAATTAAAATTCTGTTTGGGCCTACAGTGACAATTTATTCATAATAGGAATTGTTTTCGACATCAACGTCGTCCTTCGTTTCTCTAAATTGCTTTCCGGTTAAATTTCAGATATCTGCCGAAAAATATATATATAGAAAATAAAAATCGTGTCTTTTCAATGTTTGTACGCTTTTCACCTACCTTTCGGAACTTATTCGCAAGAAGTGGGGCAGTTATTTAATGTAAAGTGAGATATTTTAGTGGGGTAACTGAGATTAATTTTTTGGAGTGGTATGTTTCAGTAATTTATTTGATGTGGGATAATTTGTGACGATCGACAAATATATAGTTTATGCATTTTGATGATATACTTATGTGTTTGAACTTAATATTGACTATCAACCGTTTAATATTACGTCAATTATCGTTGGATAACTTTTGGTTAGACTACAAGATATTCTTAATAATAACAATAATTAGTAATTTGCTAACTTTTCTACTTCTTCAATTACTATTATAGTATAAATTTTAAAAATATCAAAGTTTATCTTTAAATAAATTATGGATCTAATATGTTTTATTTAAAATTAATTACGTAATTTTAATATTTAATTAAAAATAAAATAGCATATAAAGGAGGAGTAAGAAGAGAGTCTGTTGAGCTGATGGTGTGGTCTGATGTTGGGGGGTGATTCTTGGAGTGAGAGAGGGTGTAGAAAAGGGGGGAAAATGTTAGAAGTAAATAATATGAAAAATAAAAATGAGATAATTATAGAACTCTCATTTTTATATATAGAGAAACGATAAAAATGAGGAACTTTTTTACAATTATCACAGTTTTAATTTTGAGTTTTATCTTACTTAAATTAAAGTGGGTAACATTAGCAGTAAAAGTTATGAGCAGTTTAGTATAATTAGCTTACATTATTGACGAATTAAATATACTTCGGGTTTTCTATAAAGTGCTCATGGGCACTCTATAAGAGAGGAGAGAGAGAGAGAAATGAATGAGGAGGGGATCCCAATACAAAGTAGGGGGTCCTTCTCTTCATTCATTTCTCTCTCTCTCTCTTCTCTTATAGAGTGCCTATGGACACTATATAGAAAAACCGAATATACTTTATGTAAGCAAAATATGTGCAATTTTTGTTATAACAATACTTAATAATTGAGATTGAGTCGTGTGATTGTATACGAAGGAATTCTCTCATGTGAGGTTTGATGCCTATTAATCTCCTACTATAATTACACTTAACTAATTAAACATTCCAACAAACTCTCTCTCTCTCTCTCTCTCTAGCTCTCTAACTAAACAATCAAGATCCTGGGGGTCTTCTCGTCAAAAGCAAACAAAAAAAAACATCGTAAAAGAGAAAAGCCGACTGCCGTCAAAAAAAACCGCTATCATTAGATCTTAATTTGACCAAAATACCCCTATGTCCTCGCCTCTTTTGGAGTGATCCTCACAAACAATTCAGTCATTTCAGCTCTTCACCAGCGGATTAGATACGGCCGGTCCGTCGGAGGCGGTACGGTGCCCTGCCGCTGATATTTCGGTATTGGGGTCTTTTTCCATATAAGTCCCTTTACGTCATCATATTTTGAACTAGTCCTGCAAATCATTCAAATTGCTATTGAACCCATATAACATATCTTAAACTGTTCCCTTTTTCTGTTTAGGGGCTGTTTGTTTGTCCAAAAAAAAGGGAAATCAAAGAATAGGAAACCTATTTCTTAGAAATTTTATTTTGAGGTTGTTTGGTTGGAAAAAAAAGAAGGAAATTAAAGAATAGGAGATGGGGATGAGATGAGTTGTCGTCATATTAAGGGGCACTTTCGTCATTTCTGGAATTGAGGACGAGACGGTAACTTGTTCCTTTATTTTGTGCAGTTGATGGGACGGGAGCGGCTGAGCTGCCTCCTCTGATTTGTACGGGATGTGGGCCCCCGATCGTCGACGTGGCAGTGAAACAGAGGGGTAGCCGCTGTTCGCTGTTCGAGGGAAGCGCGGAAGTTGAGGGATTTTGAAGGAAGGATTAAGGACTCTCTGATGTTAAATAGGCACCTAAATAAATATTAATTTTTGAATTTGTACAAAAAGTCTCAAAATTTCTAATGTTCGATGATTTAAGTATTGGAATATTTAATTGCACATTAAATATCAATGATCAGGTGGTCTGCATGATTCAATTCCAAACTTCCGAAAACGAATAATTATTTTTGAGATTTAAGCATACTTGAGCTTCTTGATAATTAACATACTTCAACATTTTATCCTTTTCCCTTGTTCTCTGAGACAAACATTTAATATTAGTCTTGTACATAGTCATAACAATTTGAGGATAGATCTATTTTAAGCATTGTAGGTTGGTGAGTCATTGATATTGCACATACTAAAATAGTGACATATTAAAACTAAAGCACTTCCACTTCTGAGGAAATAAAACATCCTACATTCAATTGTTTTGAACTACATCCAACTGAAATCAAAAGAGTGTTGGATTTAATCTAATAAATCTATTTGTGGGCACATATGATTAATCAATGTGTATTGCTATCTTTCAGGATAACCCACTAAAGTGATCAATTAAGTTGGGTTAATTTGGTATTTAAATATAATCATGGGGTCATATGTGCAGATACCAGGTTGTAATTGTAATTTATTGAGGGGCTAAATTACAAAAGTACAACATCTATAAATAAGGGGTTATGGTCCCTAACCTAGGGTTACATTCTCTAATTCTCTACACCCCCATCTAGCTAGAGAAATTCGGCTAAAAGAGAAAACCCTAAGGTTAGAAGATCCAAAACCCAAAATCAAGATCAAGCAATGGATTCAGGTATAAGCTTCCGCTCTTTTAGATCCTTGTTAATCTCTTTGAATTAATCATGGCTATATGGTTTTAGATCTCAAGTTTTATGATGTAGATCTAACAAGTGGTATCAGAGCCACCTTGATTAATTCTTAGGGATTTAAGTTTTATTGGGTTTTTTATCTTAAATCTCTGGTTAAAGATAAAATTTTTGGGTTCGGATGAACAGTAAATTTTTGGGTTCGGATGAACAGTAAATTTTTTTGGGTTCGGATGAACAGTAAATTTTTTTGGGAATTTTTTGGATTTTTCTTTGATTTTTTCTTCAATTTTTTCCAATTCTGGATCTGTTTTGAAAATAAAAAATCAAAGATTTTTTGGGTTTGACGGCGGCGGTTTTAATTTGAAACCCTAAGGGTTCATGGCGAAAATTAAGGAGGTGGTTACCTCAAACGAACCTCGCGTTCGTTCAATTTTAACCGAACTTCGCGTTCAAACGAACTTCGCGTTCGTTATCAAGTGAGCCTCGCGCTCAACGAACTTCGCGTTCGTTCTAAGGTGAACCTCGCGTTCAACTCAGGTGAGCGTCAAGCTCAATTTTAACGAACCTCGCGTTCGTTCTAAGGTGAACCTCGCGTTCAACTCAGGTGAGCGTCAAGCTCAATTTTCAGACGAGCCTCGCGTTCGTACTTCAGACGAGCCTCGCGTTCGTACTTCATACGAGCCTCGCGTTCGTACTTCAGACGAGCCTCGCGTTCGTACTTCGGACGAGCATCGCGTTCGTACTTCGGACGAACCTCACGTTCGTACTTAAGTCAAACCTCGCGTTCATCCCTTTTTTAACGAACCTCGCGTTCGTTCCCAAGTTGAACCTCGCGTTCTTTTATTAAACGAACCTCGCGTTCGTTCATTTTCAGACGAACCTCGCGTTCGTGCTTAAGTGAGTCTCGTACTCAATACAGTCGAACCTCGCGTTCGAAGTTAAGGGAACTTCGTGTTCATTATGGTTAAGCCTCGGCTTTTCATGGGTCCACTTTGGTATACTTAATTTATTCAATTAAGTTATGGGCCCTAGTTAAGCTGTGAGACCCCAATTAAGTTTTTGGAAATTCAGTTGATTTAAATTTTTTAATTTAAATCTAATTCGGTTTTTAATCAATTATTTAATTCAAATATTATGACACTAAGGTATTAAGGTTGTCTCTCACTCCAATTGATTAATTGAAACAAGAAGTTGCCAAAGTAACCTCTCTTGTGTAGATTGTTCATGAGGAATGTGAGATGTTTGTGTGTATGCTTTCGTGTAAATATTTAATCGGCCCAAAGGAAGGTTAATATTTATTTAGACTGTATACACATCTGCGATGATAAGCGTGTGAGAATTATAAGGTTTACATGTGAATAATGAATCGATCCAAAGATAGTTTCATTATTTGACATGAGTTATTGTCAATGTTTGATCATTGCAACAAGGTATCACTTACAAGTTAATATTACTGTCCAAAGACTTGATATTAATGTTGTGCCGGTATCTTGGATGGGGATTGTCATTATTTGAATTTTATTGATTATGGTTATTGATGTGAGCATCTTTTGTTTTATTTTCAGCTAATGCATCTGCTGCAACAATTTCTGCTAACATCAACTCAATTCCCATGCTAAATGGGACAAACTTCAAGGTTTGGAAAGAGAACATATTAATTGTTCTTGGCTGCATGGATCTTGACTATGCATTAAGAACTGAACAACCCCAACCTCTCAATGCGGATAGCACTCCTGATGCAAAGAAGG